ACACCAATGGAACTTACCATGATTCCACTTCAAATTCTCTCCTATTCACACGAGAAATCTCAGCCCGAAATCCGCCTCTCAAACTTCCCTGCTCCACACAAAAGGCTCTTCGAGAGTTCACCACACTCAATAGAGATTCACCAGTGAGAATACATCATTCTTCGCTCCGATTTGAGGGTTTAAAAGCATAAACCCACCTTGCGTAGTTATGCCACTCCTCGGTGTAACTACAACAACAGCTCTATCCCAGAGCCTTTAATGGAAGAAACTGTGGCGTAGGTACGCCACTCCTCAGTGTGATTACACCGTCCGCTCTGTTCTAAAGCCTGAAACGAGAGAAAAAGGCAACATAGATACGCTGTTCTAAGCGTGGTTACACTGGTCTGGTATTCCATTTTTGCAGTTATGGGGGCTTCTTCAGGCTTCATATCTCAACAATCTCCCACTTGGAGACTGATAACATTCAACACCTCTCCAAATTTGTACAAACATTTGTATCATCTTTATAGTCTTCTAAATTCTCAATATTCTTGGGATGCAACTGAAGCTAAGCATAGTTCTAGTTACTCAATAATCACCACCTTAGTCAACATATCTACATAATTCGGAGATGTGTTTTATCTAAACATATCTAGCCATGTTCTAGGAGAAAGCAAATAAAGTGTGCCTCAGTCGAATAAGGTTTGCCTTGACATAAAAAAATAGTGTTCTTAGCAAGATGAACAACACCCATATTATTACTATAAGACTTTCCAATCCCCTGCTTCTTGCCCATTTCTGCCATAAAGCTATGCAGTCAAATCATCCCCTAGCTAGCTTTACTGATAGTAATATATTTGGTTCCGTAGTTGAAAGTGCAACAATCTTCTATAGCCTAGAAACCTTACTCGTCATTTTGTTTCTCAAAGTGAAAATACACCTTGTTGTACTTCTTCTACCATTCATATATATGCTAAATATGAATCTACAAATTAATATAAACTAATCGCTACACTTCCAAAGAAAAATGACTTGTTGATTGTTCCCCTCAAATACTTGAGAATCCACTTAACTGCCTCCCAATAATGCTTTCTAAGATTACCCATGTACCAGCTGAACACTCTCACTGCATATTCAATATCAATTCTTGTATATATCATAATATACATCATATTTCCAACTACTGAAGCATCCAAGTTCTCATCTGTGTTTGCTCAGCATCAGACTTAGGCGGTAGTTCCTTAAATAGTTTGAATGGACTACTTAAGGGGTGCAAAATAATTTTGCCTCACTCATATTGAACCTCTGTAGGATCTTCTCAACATACTTTGTCTGAGATAACATAAGTATACATGCACTCTCGTCCCTATTGATTCTTATTGTGAGGATCTTCTTGGCTAGATCTAAATCTTTCAACTCAAACACCCACGAATAATTGCTCATTTAGGTCTCAAACTTTCTCCATATATGCCTCTATAAATAACATGTCATCCACATAGAAAAGAAGCAAGATATATCAATTACAAAAAATTTTGATGAAGAAATAGAGATTTGTCTGACATTTCATGTACCCACTGTCTGAGATGAACATGCCAACTCATATATCATTTTCCTAGGGCTTGCTTCTAGCCATAGTGAATTCTTGAACCTGTAGACTAAATTTTCTTTTCTTGAAACTTTATTACCCTTCAGTTAAATCAAACATAGTTCCTTTTCTAGATCTCAAATTAAAAAAAAAATGTCTTCACATCGATCTACTCCAGATGTACATCCTCATCTGCTACTAAGCTTAGTACAACTCTGACAGTAATCATTTACACCAAAAAAAAATCTCAATTTTGTCCACTCCTTCATTTTCTTGAAACCACTTCTCAACAAGTCTAGTATTGTAGCGTCTGCTATCATTTGACTCAACTTTCAACTTGTAAACCCACTTTTTGTGTGGTGCAATTTTGTCAAATCCTAATTCCAATTCAACATTAGTGGTTGTATCTCATCATCCATGGCAAACTCACTTCTTTGAATCAACTTGGGTGGCCTCTTGATAGCAGTTTGGCTCACCACTATTAATTACCAACAAATAATATAAAGTAGTATATCTCTATGTTAGTTTTGTGATTCTACTGAACCTCTAGACATTAGATTTTACCATGCTTTCAAATTGTTCCATTAGGCAACTTGATATGAACATCAAATGTCCTACAATACCACAAACTTTACTATCTTCAAAGTAAACATTCCCTAAATCACTCTAAGTTCAGTTTTTTTAAGCACCTCTTTGTTGGGACATGCATGAAAAAAGACACATAAACCTACTATCCAAGATTCGACACTGACTATGGACGAAACTATGGAGTCACATTGTACTTCGCCTGTTGAGACATTTGTAGAGAAATTCGTTTCTTAGACTCCACCACTAATCTTACATAGAGCTTTGCAATCTTTCTTGAAATATCATTTCTTCATGTAGTATTAACATTCACAACTATTATTTCCTTTCCTGACCTGATTTTTCTCTTCTGGACTTGAATTTGTCTCAACCTATATTCATGTCCACATTACTTTCTCTAATTTCAACATTTAACACAACCTATAGGTTTAGGGTCCGTTTAGGGCAGCTTAAAACTGCGGCGGCGTTTTTGAAAACGCCGCCTCTATGTTTGGTTCGCACGTTTTACTTGTGTTTGCCCAAAACGTAGATTTACAACATTCTACTATTTCTATTAGATGCGGATCGCGGGTATAACCCCGCGATCCAGCGTTCGAGCGAAGCATTTACGTCCCTGCCCTCAAACCTGATTAGTCTAGCGCTCTGCCGAAGCTAATCCCCGCCGAAGGAAGCCATTCTTGATTTCCAAAAATCTACGGCTACACAGCAAAGCTATTCGTCTTGGTAACAAAGCTCCACTTCTCCAAGAAAATAGCTCTCCGCTGCTCATCCCTGCCGAAGAAAGCTCACCGCTGCTCATCCCTGCCGAAGAAAGCCCATCTCTGCCGAAGGAAGCCTCAAGCAACACTCCTACCTCTCTGCTGCTCATCCCTGCCGAAGGAAGCTCACTGTTGCTCATCCCTGCCGAAGGAAGCTGCAAGCAACGCTCCTACCTCTCCGCTGCTCATCACTGCCGAAGGAAGCTCTGATTTTTTTTGGTTGACCGATTTACCTCTGATTTTCTTTTTGCAGTAAAATTTCCTTATTTACTTGAACGATTTATCTCTGATTTTTTTTTGTTCATGCTTCATTTACAAATTTCTTTTATGAGATTGCTGAAAATAAAATTTAAGTGTTAGATATGTAAATACATTGGAATTTTGTGGTATGAGTGTAAAAGTGAAAGTTTTGATGTGCGATATGTAAATCCATAAGAATTGAGTGCTATATATGTAAAAATGAAAGTTTTTTGGATTTTAGTATATTGAATGAGTTCCATTATATTACTGTTGCGAACAGCTCCACTGTACGTGGCCAAAATGATCATTTTTTCCACAAACAGCTGCAAATCAGTTGTTCTGAAACCGCAGAAACCAAACAGCGTAACAATTTATTCAGTTCAGAGACAAAATGGTCATTTATCCAGAAACAACTGCAAATCAGCTGTTTTTCAAAAGCACAAACCAAACAACCAGCTAGCTTTTTCGGATCAGCTGCTCATCAGCAGATTATCAGGATCAGCTGCTTATCAGCAGAAGTTGGATAAGCCGCAGCTGCCCCAAACAGACCCTTAATGTACTTCGTCTTTCTATGAACTTCTTCATTCGGTACCAATCCCACGGCGTCATAGAAATTCAACTTCATATTACCAAAGAAGTTACCATCATGATCAATTCATCAAAGTTGTCCGACAACAATAAATAATTAACAGTGCATTAACCTCATCCCCCAATTTGAAACTCACATAACAAAACAAACTAGTTGAAATATTGAAATTCTTCGAAGTGTTCAACCACTGAACTGTCTTCCATCAACTTCTTTATAGAAAAATCTTATTTGAAGCAAAATATTTCTCATACATCTTTATCAGTGCCACCCTGAGATCCATCGTAATTTTTTCATTCACTATGTTCAACACAACAAACGATACATATAAAACCTAGAGTCGATTGATTTAACAGAACACATTCTAGATTCATCACTTCACAAGTCTTCCTGATTTCTTATAATGACAGATACAAATTTTTTTTTTATATACAACAAATCTCACTTGTATTTTCTACAGCACAATATTCGATCTATGGAACTTCTCCACTTTGTACAATGAGTCATTAGTGCTCGCTCTCACTCAAATAGTAAGTTTTCAAAAAAAGAAACTTTGCTCTTACACCACAACAAAAAAAGAATTGCACTGATTATAGAAATTCAAAACAAAATATCTAATAAAAACACACAACAAATGAATCTAAAAAAATTTATCATAAAAGAAACCTAAAAATAAGAAAAAATTATTGAGTTACACTACACCAAAAATTCATTCTATAGGAAGATACACATAAATTTATACCACTCGGATCTTCTCTATACACCAATGAAACTTATAGCAATTCCGTTCCAAATTCTCTATTTGTCGCACATGAGAAATCATACATAAAAATCCTCAAGATTAAGCATTTCAACATTAGATTTACTTTTAATACTCAATCTTCACATTAATTATTGTATTTCCTTTTGGGCTTGAGTAGCTACATATTCATTATCATTTATATTTATTTTTCATTTTTTTAAGTTGTTTCTATTATTAATTTTTATTTATGAAATAGAATAAAATTAATATATTAATTATAAAATAATTCATACTATATATAAGACATAAATGAACACATATGCATATAAAATAATAATAACCAGTAAAATATATATACATATATAATAACAATAATAATAATAATATATTTAAACTCTTCAAATTTAATATAATTAAGTGCATTTTATGAAAAATTTATTCAAATAAATAACTAGTTAAATTAGGTTTCAACACGTTATTTATTAAGCTGAATGCAAAAAAAAACTCACAAGTCAGCTTGGCTCAATCACTCTACCATTTTGAATACATAGAAGATAAACATCTTGAAAACTGAAAAAATTATTATGTGTCGACTGCACGTCCGAATGATGATCTGAATGGGCTACCATGCGATCCAAGACAGTGTGGACACTAGATCATCGTCCAGTCCAGACATGTGATCAGCCGGATATAATAATATATCTCAGTGCAAAATTGGTTAGCATGGACCATAACATTTCTTTTGATATAAAAAAAAATCTAATCAACCCAATGAAATCTTGCCAGTTACCCAATTTGAATTTTGACAGAAGAAAGCCCCCACGCGAAAATTCGGCTAGATAAATTTGAAAAAACATTAGAAGCCAAATATATTAAAAGCCTTCTGGTAAACTAAATAGCATAAAAACAAGTTACCAACCTCCATTAATGATGCACATGAGCAAGAAGCCAAAACTTTCCGCACCAGAAAGAAACCACCAGCATTTCTAAATTCAGACATCAAAATAACAACTTTACTGCTCATAGCAAAGCGCCTAGTTCTTTTTCCTCCCATACAGAGATCCAATCAGAACCCAGTCCATCTCAACTCCAATCTTAGTCACATACTCAGCAGATCACCATGATGTAACTTTTTATCATCCCCCTCTTCTTCTTCAGCACCATCAATAGCCCAGCCATCTGCTCTTGGCGGATCACTAGTCGAACTGTTTGAGGACTCCTCCCCCGGCTTCAATGGAGGGCTGGGCACATCCGCGAGGATTTGAACGACCTCCCTCATCGTCGGTCGCTCCATGCTCTGCTCAGAAACGCAGAGCATTGCAACAGAGAATACATGCGTTGCTTGCTGCATGGAAACTGCAGGAAGCCTTGGGTCCAGAATTTTGATCACCCCATCTTTGTTTGAGTCGGACACCTTCCTAACCCACTGTACAATGTCTACTCCATCCCCGAATTCCCCCACTGGTTTTCTACCAGTTACGAGCTCAAGCAGAACCACGCCGAAACTGTACACATCGCTTTTCTCGTCCACTTTCAGTGTGTATGCGTACTCTGTCGAATAAGGGAACAGTGCGTCAACTTTATTTCGATTTCTAAAAGCTCAGAAAGCTTTGAAAAGCAGAGGGCATAACTCTGCTTGACTAGATAAATGTTTTTCCAAGAAAGTAACTTTAAAAAAACAGGGACTCGGCACAATCGGATTCGGATTAATAAATATAAAAGCTGTTTAACTTTCCTCCTGTAAAGTAATATATATTTGATAAAAAAAAAGAAGGTTCGATAGAGCAATTTGAGAAACAATACCTGGGGCAATGTAGCCGTAAGAGCCGGCAATGGCAGACATGCATTCGGAGGTGCCGGAATCCCGAAGGAACTTAGCCAGTCCAAAATCTGCAACATGGGCTTCAAAATTTGAGTCTAGCAGTATATTATTTGATTTGACATCGCGGTGAATGATCAGAGGAGAGCAATCATGGTGGAGATAGCTGAGACCCTTCGCTGCTTCCACGGCAATCTTATACCGAAGATCCCAGTGCAAATGGCCACCTTTCTTGCCATGAAGAACCTCTCCAAGGCTACCATTGGGCATATACTCGTATACAAGAAGATTTGTTTCATGGTTTGAACAGAAACCGAGCAATCTCACAATGTGTCGGTGTCGAATTCGTCCAAGCGTTTGGATCTCAGCAGAGAAGCCATGATCGTGCGCTGTTCCCCTGCTCATTACCGGGAGCCGCTTTACGGCCACCTGCTCTCCGCTTGGAATGACGCCCTTGTACACAATGCCAGCTCCACCTTTTCCGATGATGTTTTCCTCCTTGAGGCAATCCAGCACGTCGTCGCAGTTGAAGTCCAAGCGCTGGAAGGTGGTTAGCTTCCAAGCACGGGCTTCGCTTGCCTTCTTTATTGACCGCGCTTTTAAGATGGCAACAATGGCGAAGGCGATGGAACAGAGGAGGAGACCTATGACTAAGATTAGCTTGGAGGAGGAGGAAAGTCCATGTGTATGGCTGGAGCTTCCAGTTTCCGCAAAACCAGAACTGCATGGGCCAAGATAAGGACCGCAAAGATCTGGATTGCCCGTGAAGGATGTGGCATTGAAGTAGCCGAACTGACCAGTGGCAGGGACGAGACCAGAGAGGTTATTGTAAGAGAAATCGACTGCTGTGAGGCTCTGCATCGTGGAAATGGAAGATGGAATGCTGCCTTCCAAGTGGTTCCTTGAAAGATTGAGGTAATTCAAGATGCGCATCCTGGTTATCTCCGCCGGGATCTCGCCGGAGAGATTATTCCGGCTGAGATCAATAACTGAAAGAAGCTTGCAGTTGCTAATCTCAGGGGGAATCCGGCCAGAGAAACTGTTTCCGCTGAAATCCAACTTGGAGAGTTGCTGCAGCTGACCAACTTCAGGCGGGATGCTGCCAGAGAAGAGGTTCTGGTCGAGCAGAAGCTTCTGGATACCAGAAAAATTGCCGATAGACCGAGGTAGAGGTCCAGAGAGACGATTGTTGGAGATGCTAATCTGTCCGAGAATCGGCGATATGTGGAAACTTTCCGTCTCCGGGAATACACCGGTGAGAAGGTTGTCCTGAAGCTCAACCTGCGCGAGATTCGGAAGGCCGAAAAGGCCATTGGGAATTGATCCATTGAGGTAGTTTTCACCCATACGGATTCGGCTTAGGGACAAGCAACGGCCGAGAGAGTCCGGTATGGGGCCGAAAAGGAAGTTGCCTAGAGCGATCAGGGTTTGCAATTTGTTACCGAAGCATAAATCGGCAGGAAGATCGCCGGTGAGCTTGTTGGTAGATATATCAAGAAGCATGAGTCGGCCGTTCCGGCCTAGCAGCCTTGGAATGCTTCCGGTAAAGTTGTTCTCCCAGAGCTGGAGCACCTCCAGCTCCGTGAGATCGCCGATAAAGTCCGGGATGGCTCCGTAGAGATTATTCCGAAATAGATTCAACAGCGTGAGGTTCCTGAGCTCGGCGAACGACTTCGGTATCTCCCCCGTGAGCGCGTTGTTGGAAAGATCCATTGATTTGAGGCTCTGGAGCCGACCGAGCTCCGACGGAATCTCGTCGGCAAGGCCATTAACCTGCAGGAAAAGTGTATCGAGGTTCACAAGGTTGCCAATCTCTGACGGAATCCTGCCGGAAAGGCCGCAGTTAGCCATGTCCAGTCGAACTAGGTTCGTGAGATTCCCGAGCTCCGGTGGTATACCCCCCTCATAGCTGTTAAAATATCCAAGGTAGAGCTGCTGTAATCGGTTCAGCTTGCCGATCTCCGGAGGAATCCTGCCTCCGAGCTCGTTCCCGGATACGGCGAGATACTCTATAAACTCCCACCCACCGTACTCCGCCGGAATGACGCCGGAGAAGAAATTACCCCCGAGGTGTAGATGGCGAATGTTGAGGAGCTCGGTGACCTCGAGCGGAAGGGTGCCAGTGAGATTGTTGTTGTAGAAATCGAGGACTCGAAGGTTCTTGAGTCGTGACAGTGGGGAGGGGAAGCTGCCATTGAAGATGTTGTTAGAGAGGTTTAGATACCGGAGATTAGAAGCGCGGGAGAGTTCCGGTGGGATGGGTCCCGAGAACGAGTTGACGGCAGCAGAAAAGTTGAGGAGGTCGTGAAGGCGGCCGACGGCGGAAGAGAGAATGCCGGAGAGGTTCATACCAGTCAAATCGAGGGAAATGACTCGTTCTTGCTCATCGCAGATGACGCCGATCCAAACGCAGTGAGAGAATGATTGATTCCAACTTGCCAGAGAGCTCGAATGATCCGAAACCGAGGACTTCAATGCAAGGAGCGCCAGCATCTCCGGCGAGCTCCCCGCCGCCAAGGCCGCCGACGGCGCCCGGAGGATACATGCCAGGATAGCAAATAGCAATGGAAACACCATTGCTCTGCACCACTCTAGAACAGAGTATAGTGAGGAAACGAAGCAGAGCCTCGAGTTATATTTCTGTCGTGTATAGAGGAAGAGGAAGGCGCGGGAATTATTTATTTATAATCCATATTTCATTTATTTATTAAAACAAGCGCCCTTTCGTGCTAAATTTAAAATTTTTATTGATCGCTCTGATCGAGGATTTTATTAGATATTTGTTCCTTGTTCTGTTTTGGAAAATTTGCACTTAAAAAAAAATCCATGATAAGATTTGTCCTAATTATTGAATTGTTTTCTGTAAAAAGTTAAAAAAGTAAAATTGTGATCTTGGTTGGGGGACCAGGGATTGGGTAGCCTGCCACAAGGGTGAAGAGGGAAGTGGTCATGATTTGGTTGCGAGGCCACATGGCCATAATGATGACCGAATATTTTATTTGTTTTATTTTCTTCCCACTTCATTCTAATAATTTATCCACAACTATATTAATATTCTCAAGTTATGAAAGATTAATATATTTGGCTCATGTACACATGATTTATATATCTAATTCTTAAATTTAGACTTCTTATAGATTGAATTATGTGATGAATTGGACAGTGTTGTCATTTATGAAGGCATAAATTTTTATTTTCATTTTTCATTTATTTTTCTCTTCATTTTTAGGACAAAAAAAAAAACAAGATTTCAATATTATACTTAATTTAATTTATGTGTTTTCAACGCCGTCGACATAACTCTATCAACATTTGTCTCTTTCTCCGACTACAACCTTTTAGTGTTCTTTCTAAAGGTAAACATCTTCACTCTCAAAGCCTTCAAACTATTGGCACTCCGACGAAAATTAACTCGTTACTCTATGAGTTCTTCTCGGGTCTTCTCTAAATATTGGCAATAAAAGGAGAAGGAAGTCGTAATAGTAAATAGCATGGTTCTGCACTTCGTCTGTAGGTTTTTTAAGGCTACAACCACTTTAGCCTTAGAATCATATCTCCATTTGCATTCGCCTAAAAGAAATTTGGTTTTAACAAACTCTGTATTCCACACTTTTAAGAAAAAAAATTCAAACCTACTTTAAGCTCCATCTTTTTCATCATCCAATGCTAATACATATCTATATAGGAAATAAACACATGCAAATGTGACATACATGTGTCTCAGCTCACTAGTATCCAATACATAAATAATTCAATACACCCTCTAGAATATTAATTTTCAAAGGGTTGGACAAAAGATTTGTAGGTTCATCTTTCTTATTAATTGTCTTTTAAAGAAGAATCTCACAGCACAATCCTGTGAAGGCCACTTCAAAGAGACAATATGAGCAATTTCACTACATATTTTTTTATACTTTTTCAACATCATAGCATGAGATCTTTCGAGATGAATGACGGTGTCTGTTTTGATCATAAACTCTTTATTCAGAAAATTGTTTTTATATTGTACCTCAAATCACATATCTTTAATGTCCTAGAAATCAATCATCCTCAATATATCATCCACCATTATTTGAAGAGGAATAGAGAGCTCATGTAGTTTCCCTCAACTTTCACAAAATCACATGTCATTTTTTATAAAGAAAAATTCGACGAACCGGTTCCATATTGGATCCTTCATGCGAAGATCCAATGCCTTACATCTTGAAGATACATAATCGTGTACATCACTGGTGAATATGCCTATCCTGGCTATAGCTCCTGGTGTTAACTCAGCTCTGCATTTTCTGAAGAAGGTGATCATTTTGATAGTAATCGTCATGGTTCAACAAGAAAACTATGAAATGCTGCCCCAGTCACTAAAAGAACATCCATTAATTAGAATAACGGTGGAAACTACAGTCCGACGCTAAAACTAACCTTGCAAAAAGTAATATATCTACAACAGCAAACTAGCTCAATTAGATGGACTTGACAACTTCATCATCTAATCATTTGAAAATTGGAACTTTTTCAAGAAGAATATCAAAGCATCCCCGATGATTTTAGACACCGCCTCATCAAGTTCCAGGTACTGTTGTTGCGATCAAGGGGCCTTGTTTCTCAAAGCATTGGAACTTCAAAGGAAAATCAATTGCAAAAATCTCTCTTGGAAGCAACAACAGCCAGAGAAGGAAACAATTGGTGAGAAATGAGGCAACAACAACCAGTGAAGAAGGCAATAACAACCTGAGAAAGGAGGTAACAACAACCCGACAGATGAGGCAACAATAACTTGAGAATAGAGGTAGCAACATTTTAAGGAAGGAGGCAACCAAAGCTTGAATTTAGGCAATAATAGCCTTAGAAGGGCGGAAAAAACAACGTGGGAAACATTTTAATCAAGGAAGGAATGACGTGTTGTGTTTCCCTCTCAAAAGCTTATTTATATGCAAACATTCACAAAAAATTGGCTTCAAATTTAAAAATTTTGGAGCTCTGCTTAGCAAACAAACTCGTAGACGCACATGCACAAGCACAAGCTCTCACACAGTCATGTAAACCATCTCGGACGAATAATTTTGTGCAACCGTTCCACCACGCATGTCCTGATGGCATGATATGTCAAACTTTAGTTTATATTAGATAAATGATCCAAAGTTAAATTCAAGATTGTTAAAAAAATTGAATTATTATTCTGACTAAAATTATTATTAAATTATCGGTTTTTAAATTACTAATTACTAAAATATTAAACTATATTTATTTTAAAATTTTAAAACCGAAGCATACATCCGTCGCCTAACCTTTCTCATTCCTATTTCCCAAGGCCGCACAGAAGTGTGGCCCACTCTCAGCCCATATGTGGGCCCCAAATAAAGCACCGCCGCAAAAGCCCATTTTTGAATGACAAAAGCGATCCAATTCGGTCCGACACTTCGCCTTGACCATCTTAAAACCCGGTCGCGCTAATTATAATTTAATTACAAAAAAGTTTATAATTTCATGCAGCTCCTCGTGCTTGCGGTGTTCATCTCTCTATGGCCCACATTTTGGAACTTGTGATTAGGGTGATTCGATTTTTATCGAATTTAACGTAATTAAATATAAAATATTCGATTTTAATTTATTAGTTTTGCTTTAATACCCATTAAAATATATTTCGCTTTTAGGTAAAAAAAAAAAAAAAGGAGAAATTAGGGTACAAATATAATATACCACAGTTCTTATGTATTTACATATTTAACATCTAAGTTTTCATATTTACATCTATAACATTTTGATGTGCTAAAGGTATGCATGAAAATGAGTATTTTATTTTAAAAAGTTAGTAATTGTGATATTTCTTAAATTATGTTAAGTATTTGAGTGTTATAGATGTAAATAAGAAAGTTTAGGAATGTAAATGCATAACAATTGTCTTATATGTGTATATGTATGTTAAGTGCATATACTTCAAAATAAATTAGAAAGTGTAACTCTTTCAAATCATTCAATCAGAGTTACACTGAAGTGAAGTCTCCAAAGTCAAGCTGAGCTTGCTAAGATATTTATACATTTGATAGATGTTAAACTCGTCGAATTTCTCATGGCCTCGCCAAGCGGCTTATGTTATCACCATATTCACAATGAACTCTTCTTGAAACAAAACATTAGAATGCACTAAACTTAAGTGTTAACAAAGCTTAGTGACCATATACTTAAAGACATTCATGCAAACTCAAAAACTCTTTCAAATCATTCAATCAAATTGATTGACAGTTTCACATTATCTTGACTACAATAAATCGTTAGCATGTACTTGTTACATATTTTAAGAACACGTCTCAAATACTTAAACAACTAATATATATTATGTTTTATTATGCATCTTTTTTATTTGTATATATGGTTGTATGTTAGAAACATGTTTGTATGAATATCGAGTAGATCCAAAGGACAAAATGATAAAGGAGTACAACTAACGAGGGCCCACAGGAAGAAGATCAAGTGTCTACAAGCATAAGAACAAAGGGCAACAAGTGGAAGATCAAAAGGCCACAGGCAGAAGACCAAGGGTTCTCTAGTGGGATATTAAAGGAACAACTTGACTAGGTACAACCCCCTGAACTAGGGCTAGAGGCAAACCAAATGTAGGTCATCTGAACAAAGGACCAAGGCCAATCGAGCTGAGAAAAGACATCGACCTACCTCTTGCCACAACTAGACTTGAGGAAGGAGTTCAGCATCACCACCCATCTCATGGTTGCCCTTGAGATCCCTCACCAAGGATCGAGAACTGACCAAAACATAATCACATAGAACATCTCAATGGATCACCCTGTCAATGAGCGAGCTACCTATCAGATTACGGTGATTGACTCTCTGCTTGATAATCTAATCTTACTTTGCTGACAAAAGTTCTTCACGTAAGGATCAACATTCTGCAACCATACTAAAATAGCTGACCATCAAAGAAAAGCCTTTGAAATCCCTTAAGTAGAATGCAGCTGAACTCTTAAACATTCAGAAGCTTTTTGGTGTAACGATGGAATTTCAATAGAAACTCCAAAGTTAAGTGTGCTGGTCATTGAATATTCTTAGGACGAGTGACCTGCTGGAAGTTGCACTAATGGGGCAAAATTGTGCGGCCACTAGTACAAAGTGGATAATACTTTGATGGGCGAGAGGTCGGGCTATCACAAAATTGATAGAGTAAAAGATCATCAAAGACCGATTGACAACCCAGATTCATCACAGTTGGACGGGCAAGTTTTGTTGTACTAGGACCAACCAATTTCCGCTGACCGAGTCATAAGGTAGTTGATATGAAGGCCTAGAAATGTAAACTACCTAAAATATCATGTAAAACCCATTGAAGTAGGGGCAGATATGTAATTTCATATATTATACCCCTCTTCTATAAAAAAAGGGAACATTTCATGAGAAATGATTAATCAATAATTCAATTTATTGTTCATTACTGTGCACTTGCCTTCCTCTATCTCTTGCTCTCTCTCTCTCTCACTCTCTCTCTCTCCTATCTTGTACTCTATTCCTCAGTTGGTGTGATTCACAGACAAATCATGATTTAACAATAGCCTATACAGACACACACACACACACATACATAAGAACAAAAAATCACACTCATTATTATTTATTTAGTTAATTAACCTAAAACAAACAAGTAAGAGGAATGGTCTAA